GGCCCGGGACTGAGGAGCTTGGCCGCGGTTTCGTGTAGGCGGAGAGGCAGCGTGGGGAAGGCGGGCTGCTTCCCGGCCTGCGGCGCTGGGGAGCATAGTGGCGGCGGGTGGGTGCGAGGGGCGCGTAGCGGCGGTGCCTTGTGGTGCGACCGTCCTCACGGTTCTCTGGTCGCTGCCTCAGCTCGTGTCTTGCTCTTGTGTAATATCCGCAACGCGTATCTCACTTGCGGAATTATTTTCTTTTTTTAAATAAATAAAGCAGTAATTTCTTTGAAGTCACAAGAGATGCAAACCACATTCAACAGAGTATTAACAAAACTTTGTGTCCCTGCTTTCAGATTGTTTTGTTTGCAGTTAAACGGGGAGGAGGTGTAATAATCACTGCTGAAAAAGGAGGAAAAAAACAACTTTTTTTTTTTACCTATAACAGTTGATGAATCTGAACTTCTCACTGTGCCAGACGGATGGAAAGAGCCAGCCTTTACAAGAGAGGATAACCCCAAAGGGCTGCTGGAAGAAAGCAGTTTTGCAACGTTATTCCCGAAGTATAGAGAAGCGTACTTGAGAGAGTGCTGGCCACTTGTCCAGAAAGCCTTGAGTGAACATGTATGAATACTTGACAATTATGATACTATGTTTTACCTTTTGGGCAATACAGGTCTTTCTTGAGATTATAAAAACAGTGCAAGTTGTTTTTCTGGTACGGTATTTGCATATATTTCTACTGTGCTTGCATTTAGAATTGGTAGTATCATCATTTATTGGCATCTGTGTAGCCAGACTTGCGGTTCTTTACAGATGCTGTCAGCAAAGCTCTCAGCAGCAGCAAGTGTCTCTTGTCATACAGGCACTGACAACTTTGTTGCGCCTAAATTCAGGGAGAGGAGAGGGGTGGTGTTTGGGGCTTGTGACGCATATATTCAGTCTTTTTTTTATGTGTGTCTGTGTGTGAATTTCCTTAATCTGAAAGGCACTTAAGGAAATTTGGAAAATGGATCTGTGTTCAGTATGTAGGATTCTGTGTGTTAACTTCTTACTGACAAAGATGAAAGATACAGGATTCTTAGAGATTGATTCACTATTTGTTTTCAAATATTGCAGTATGTGAACGCAACGCTGGATCTAATTGAAGGAAGCATGACTGTCACTACCACAAAGAAGACTTTTGATCCATATGCAGTCATCAGGGCTAGAGATTTAATAAAACTTCTGGCAAGAAGCGTTCCATTTGAACAGGTCTGTATTAAATCATGAAAGTTTGTATCAAATTCTATCATAATACTTACAGTAGGTTTTCAGAGTTGGATATTCAAGTGATTTAAAATATGTGTTTGAAGTAAATATATCTGAAAGTGACATGAGAAGAATAAACTGAAGTATTCTGTTGACTTCTCAATAATACATTTACGTTCAGATAATATTGCCTGCTTCTCGTCTCTTTAGGCAGTTCGTATCCTTCAGGATGATGTTGCATGTGACATCATTAAAATAGGCTCTCTGGTGAGGAAAAGAGACACTTTTATAAAAAGAAGAGGACGACTTCTTGGGCCAAAAGGATCTACTCTGAAGGTATTTCCAATAGGTGTAGTAAAGAGACAATTCTTAGTCCCAAATTTGTGTCACATCTTCAGCTTACACTTAATTAATTTCTTCTTTTGGTGTAGGCTCTGGAACTGTTAACAAACTGTTATATTATGGTGCAAGGCAACACTGTTTCAGCTCTTGGACCCTTCAGTGGGCTAAAAGAGGTAAGGGGAGACAGATGAGCTGTTTGTGTAGCTTACTTGTCAGATGAGAGGCAAGATCTGGCAGCCTCAGGAGCATCTCACTGATATTTCAGCTATGTGTTTAGCTACATTTACATAAATGTTTGTAGTCTTCTATCTTAGCTGTTGAATTTTGTTTAGACTCAGATCTTTCTGTCTTGGAAGTAAAAAAGCATTTGTGAAATACTGTTTTGGGTTTTTTTTAGCAAGAATTTTTGTAGTTCTGGATATGAGGTGTAAGACTGAAAATACTGCAGAGTTAATGATATGTAACATTAAGAAATATCCAATATGGTTTTTGTAACTATGTAGGAGGAGAATGCTTGTCAAAAGCATGAAATCCATGTTAACATGAAGGTAACGTCTGTGGGGCATGCTGGAGTGTATTAGAAACATAAAAATATTATTGGTACTTCTGAAGGTGCTGTGCCTTCCAGTTAACCATGTATGTTAGCTTTTCAAATCTACCTACTTTGTGGGGCAGGGCCAGGGAGTGGAAGCAAGATAGTATACCTTGTATTTTAATATCTATAGACATAGCAAGTATTTCATATTGTTTGAGTTTTCTGTTCTTTTTTATTAAATGCAGGTTAGAAAAGTTGTTCTGGACACAATGAAGAATATACATCCCATATATAACATTAAGGTTAGCGTGGTCCGCTGTCCATCTCTTTAAAAGAAAATATTACTTCTGCTCAGGGAGTTGTATGTTAGTAATTTACATGTTTCTATATGGTAATCTACTTTTAAGAATTTCTGTATGCTGCTTTAAAAAAACCCTGGCTTTGATAACCTCTGTTTTACCAGGATATGTTGCCATAATATCATTAACAGTATCTGAGAAAACATCAAAGGAAAACTGTGTATAAACTGTCATTCCTTCAGTTGTTTGCTTGATGCTTTCTTATTGAAACCGAGGCACTTTCTCCAGTATATTCTGTCCCTGTTTTGAGGCATATGTATTTTTTTGGTTCCACTGTTCATAATTAAATCCCTCTACTAAGTGAGAGGTGGAAGGTTTGGATGTAACGTATTGACTGTAAGAAGGTTTAGTAAAACTTGTAGTTTGGAGCTCTTGGCTGCTACTGTAATACTGTTTTTTTAAATAACTTCTTTGTGACATTCTGAAGACTTTGATGATCAAAAGGGAATTATCAAAAGATCCTGAACTAAGGTCACAAAGTTGGGAAAGATTTTTGCCTAAGTTCAAACGGAAGAACTTGAAAAAACGCAAAGAACCAAAGAAGAAAAATATGAAGAAGGAATACACACCGTTTCCACCTCCACAGCCGGAAAGCCAGGTCAGCTGAAACTTTATTTGGTTGTGCAGGAATATGCCACTACCTGAAATTGTGTTCTTGCTAACAAGAAGTTATGAGGCCTTTTCTGTCAAGTTCTGATTTCCTGATACTATACATCTGGCTCATAATGCATAATTGCCTAAAGATTCTTGGTACTTGTCTCATGCAGATTGATAAAGAATTGGCAAGTGGTGAATACTTCTTGAAAGAAAGACAGAAGAAACGAAAGCAAGTGGAAGAGATAAAGGTAAAGTTCTCACCCATGGTTCAGTTAAGAAGCATTTGACAGCTGACTTGGAATTCTTTTTGGTTTTGGTCCCTTTTGCCCTGCTTTACTAATACTTGACCTTTTTATTGGTAACTTTAGGCAAAGCAAGCAGATGCAATAAAGAAAAGACAAGAAGAAAGAAATAAAGCTTTTATCCCACCAAAGGAAAAAACAGTTGTGAAAACAAAGAAAGGTAACCTTTTTTTTTTTTTCCTGTTCTAAAACCTGCTGTTGATTCCTAGGGTGAGTGATTTTGCATAGATACAGCTGGAGGAAATAAGAAAGGTCATGCAAAAAAATCCTAGTGGTTAGATCCTTGCGTGGAGTTGCCAGGGATAGTAGAAAGATAATGCAGCCCATAATTCTATACCTATAAAATGACAATTCTCTGTAGAACATTTTCCCGATGGAGATACTGGGACAGCCAGCTCAATTGGTTGTTCTGGCTACATCAGTTTTTGGCTTTTAGTCTTGTAGTGAAGCTGCCATAACTTTTGCATTCTGTTCTGTTAAGGAAAAGAAACCCAAAAGCAGTACTTACTTGAATACTTACACTGTGAGTAAGTATTGGTATATGATAGCATATCTTTTCTAAAAGTTAAACCACACTATATGCAGAGTAAGAACTTGTGTTCTCAGCTGGTTTGGTTTTTTACGCACTAGAGACACAAGTTTTCATTTTTCTGGATTCATTGATGATACTACCTATTCATTTATTGTATTACATACACTATGTATGTTTTGTAGGCTATACTGCCTACATATTATTGCGCTATATATTACACATTTCTGAACTGAAAAGTTCACGTTTCTCGAAAGGCATGTGTTCTGCAGCATTTATACAGTACTTCTTTATGATGGCAGTAAATTTTCAGTGATCCTGCTATTGATTTTACTGTATGTTAGATACTGTGCTTTTCCAGCTCCTGTGTGTTTTAACCTGAAATCAGTCTTCCAACAATAAACAACAGCAGTAGTTTGTATGTAGGCAAGAACTGAGATCCAAAGAAGACAGCTGGTACACACTATTAGATGTGGGAATTAACCGTGTGAGATAGGAGAGTCAGATCCAAACTCATGACTCATGCCCAGAATTGGAAATACCATCATCTAGATGAATTTAAGAGTAGGTTAGTCATGTTGCTCAGCATTAAGTGTTTAACTTAAGTACTCTGGCAGTCCCTGTAGAAGTCTCTTATAAAGGTCTTCATGCAAGGGTCAGAGATCTGTATCGTATTCCTCCAGCCCACCCTTCCCCATCCTGTTTCCAGGCATGGCCATTAAGGGATGGCCAGGGAGAGAGTGTAAGGATGTGACAGGCATGCTTGGGATCTTACAACCTTAGTTACTTGCAGAAAGACAAAATACTATGAAAGCTTCTTGGGGTATAAGAACTCAATAATTAATTTCTTCTTATGTGAGACCAACCAAGCCAATAGGCCTATGTCTAAGAGAGTGTGTCTGTTTTAATTTCAGAGGAGTACATCTGTGGTCTGAGGAGTGGGTGATAGTAGCTTGTATGTGTGCCGAGTGTGATGTCTGTGTTCAAGTGCAGTTGCATAGGATTTTTTATATCACTGTTCTCCGTTGAATTCTGCTGAAAGAAGTTTGTGGATAATAACTCGTTTCAACAAAAATTATTACTAGTTTATAAAATCATGAGCGAACATGAGTCCTAACCAATGCCACAGGATGCAGTTTACTGTGTTTATATATGAAGTCATCTTGTAGACTTAAAATTTAGAAAAGGTAAAATTCATGTCTGTTATCTTTGTATTTTTCACTATGTAGCCTCCACTGAGAATAAAATTGATATCGAAGCCATCAAGGAAAAGGTAAAGAATGCAAAGAAGAAGAAATTAGGAGCACTTCCTGTGGAAGAAGTCAAGTTAAAAGTGGCAGCAGATGAAAAGAAAAAAAAGAAAAAAAAGAAATTCACCACCTGAGATGCTCACTTTTCTCCTACGCTAATGAACGTTTTCACACTTGGAAGATTCAAGACTTCTTGCTGTCAGTATAATCTGAACAAGAAAAGACTAGGTAGAAAGGTCATTCTCTTTTCATAAGTACAGTTTAATTAGTGGACCTAAAGCAGCTGTGCAGAGTTGGCAAGGTTGGTGAAGAAAATCTGTGCTGCTCTGTTTGACAAAGTAAGAGAGTGTATTTGGATACTATCCATCTGCCTGAAGGGAAGGTTTCATAATATAAAATTCATTTAGGAGTTTGATGCAGGATGTTAAACATTAGGGTCAGAGAACTCAGTGGGAGTTTAAGGTTGTCCTGTGAAAGACTGCCAGACTATATGCAGCCTCACTTATGGTGATAACTTTTACAAAATGGGCAAGATTTATTACTATATTATGCTTTTGTTTCTGTAAAAGCTGATTTTTTTTTGGTGTCTTTTCTTGCTGTTAATAAACTATTTTAATACATTGTTCTTAAATCCTTTAATTAGTCATATAGTGCAGAACCTATATCTTTTCCAGGAACCAAGCTCACAGCTTCATGTGAGAATTCTTCAAACCATAATTTTAATTTATGCCATTAATAGTCATTTATTAGCATTACCCTGCAGTCTGTTAGACAGAATGTGATACAAAGCAGGTGTCTTTCCACATGGAATGTGCTACATGGAAAGCATGAAGTCATTATCTTTAAATATATTCTTAATTTATTTCTTGCTTGTAAGAAAGACTTAAGAAATTTTGTTCTCCTTTTTTTATTTTTTTGAGGCCCTTTCCCTTTTTTAAAGGAAGTTGAGTTGCCTCAAAAGGCAAATTGTGATGAAATAAAGTTCACCCAGAAGAGCGGATGTTACTTATTTCATACATCTGGTATTGAAGAAACAAAGGTAATGAGTAGGAGGTGTTAGAGCCACACAATTTCATGGTTGTGTTGGAGTGCTTTTGTCAGGTTCTGGAATTTTGATCACCTTCACATGCAGTGGAAATGATTATGCTAGAACATTGTAGCTCACTGCTTTTAGGTTAGTTACCTTTACACTGAATTAGTGAGTGAAAACACAGCCATTTCCTTTTTTACATATATAACTAAGAATTTAGAATGTATGTGGTTAAATGGCCAGTACATGTGCAGTGAGAAATAGCTAAAATGTCCTTTAGGGTAGGAGGCAACTTTAGCCTTAGTGTGTCTTTAAGGTATGTGGTCTCAGTCATTTTAGGGACCATTGTTCATAAACGGCAGTTTAAATACTTGTGGAATCAGTCAGGAAAATACTACTTCAACAGATACTTCACTGAGAACATAAGTAAGTCACAAACATCCATCTTGGAAAAGCTTTTTAGAAACACCAACTGGTATTTAGCAGCTGGTGGTGTAACAGTGAGACAAGTTCAGCACCGGCCAGGTAGTTCAGACCTCTCATGTAGTGAAAGCACTAATTTCAATAGGGGGCACTGCAGTACTTGAGTTTAAATGCCAGTTGTCACAGTGATCCCATGAATGAGTGCTTCAGCAGGAGTCTGCAGAGCTAGAAGCCAGTAAGGAGGAGTCTAGCCAGGGAAGGAGCAGGAGTTTTATTAGTAGAGGGAGAGTCCTTGTTTCTAATCTGGACTGGGCAAAGCCCCTTTCACTACAGAAGACTGGCCCAGGTGTTCCCCCGTTGTCTAAAAAGTTCAAAACAAGTGTAGGGCTAGTTGCCCTACACTGGTCTTGCAGGCTGGCGTTTCATTTCTGGAACCTGATCTAGCTAAAAGCACCCTACAAAAAAGTGTTTTCCAGCAGCATCAGCTAACTGCCTGATTGCATGAGATGCAGTGCAGGAAAGCACAGCTCAGCTTGGTGGCAGCCTGGCCTTAAATTATACATACTTTGATGGAAGTGTGCTTTTTTAATTTAGGACCCACAGCTGCAGCATCTATGTAGCTTTTGCATCAAATTCCTACCCATAGTAAAACTTAAAAGACTTAAGGAAGTCTTCTCCTTCAGTGGTTATGGAGTGAAAAGGCTTTGCATTGTATTTAATCGCTTTCAGTTGTTATGGTTGATAGGTTTCAAGGATTGTTGGTTGGACATTTATTTATTTAAATCGGAAAATCAAGAGAGCTTTTTTTGTAGGCAAGTTAAACCAAAGGATTTGTCTGATCAAGAGTCCATATCTGAACAGTAACGCTACATGGGCTCAATGTTGGTGCTTTTTGCACCTGTTTTCTGAGAGAATATGGCTATACAGCTTTTATCCTTGTATAAAAAGTGAAGAATAGAATAATAAAGTGGATTTGGAAGGGTGAAAAAGATTTTTTAGTATTTTCAGAACAGCTTGAACTATTGCAAATTATTTCCTTAAATTTTAGAGTTTACAGACTTGCAAAAACAGTACCTGAAGGCTCTATTTATATATTAGTGGTTTGTATTTATTATATGGAACTCATTGGTATATGCCATAAGATAAATGTGGACAACTCAAAGTGGTTTGATCATCCAGAGTTAAATATCTTGATTTTTGTATGTCCTTAAAATGAGATGCAGTACTTGTTTAGCTTTGACTTCTTGACTTTCAGGCTTTTTTTGTTTGAAAGATACAATGTTGTAAAGTTTGGGGTTTTCTTCCCATAAACCCTAGTGATTTGCAGGTTTTTTTAATGAAGCTTTTTCTGTGGTGTTTCCTTAGAGCTGCTGAAGCATATAGTTAAATGATGGTACTGTGAATTTTTTGAACTTTAAGGGATCTGTGTTCATTCTGTTTATTCTCCTGGAGATCAAGCATAGATTAAATTAAGCAGGGGAGAATTCCTGCTGAGCTCATTCTTGCTCATTTTGCTGGACACAGCAGCATACACTCTTCCCTCTGCAACATTTCTCTTTGCAGTAGTAGATTCTAACTGCATGTCGTTTCAGTGGGGCAGATACTGTGCCAGGCTCCGAGCTGGTGTGGGAGCCCTGTGCAAGAGAGTGAATACAGCACGAGTCCTGCTGCCCGTTGCTGCTTGCTGTCCCGTTTTCAGGTGGGATTTTGCTGTAAATGGAACTTGAGGCTTGGGTCTTGCACAAAAGAGTGGCAAGAAGACAAGTGGAGAGGAAAATAGCTGCTCTTTTTAACAGATAGACCTGTGGCATTGCTTTTGCAGTGGGCACTGTTTTTTGAAACATCTTAATTGGCAGGTTTGGAAGATAGAACTGAGTTTGACGCTCTCACAAGTAGGTCAAGATGAGTACTGGCCCTGATGACTGGATCACGGCGAAGAAACTGCTTATCTTCTGTCTGTGACTGTGATGTCTTGCTATGGAGGCTCTGGTAGCCAACAAACTAAATATAAAGATATATCAAGGGCAAAAATTGTAATTTTGTCCTCAGGCCGATTTGCATTGTGAAAAATGTTTTTTTCAGGGAATGCTGTGATGCTGAGATGATTCTAGTGCAAGCAGTTAACTACCTGGAAGAATAACATGAGAAACTCTGGGTCCCAGTTCCAGTGTTTTCAGTTAAAATCCACACGAGTAGTGGGGTTGGGAGTGGGTGTGCAGAAACACTGACAGGTGCTGCAGTGGCAGCATGCCTGCAGAAAAGAAGTAGTGTGGAGAACTTCCTTTACAGCAGTGCATGTCTGTGCCCTGCAGAGGGGCATGGTGCAGAGGCATCTAAACCCGCCTCCGCATAGATATGGATTGCTACTGTGGAGCTGTGAGTTTGTGCAGCTCTGCTCCTTCTAGCCTCCGCTCGAGCTGAGTGACTGCGGTCGGTAGAGGACATGCCCAGCTGAACACAGCAGCTGTCCCTGCTGCTGTCTGCCTGCTCCAGATGTGCAGGTTCCAGCAGACTCATCCCTTGGCAGCTGTTGAACCAAAGGCATAACTATGGGCACAGCATCATTTTACCTGGAGTTTTATGCCATCTTTCTCAGTATTATGTTTCTCAGCATTGTGCAGGTTGGAGCTGAATGTGGGGTTTTTTTGTGCACCAGCTGTTACTGCTTTTGTGCACCAGCTTTAGTTCATGGCTTAAGCTTTAGCTCATGTTGCAAATACACGATTGCCATACATGGGAAGCAGGAAATAATGATTTATTATTCAAAACAACAGTCAAAAAATCTATGCTCAGAAAAAAAAAAACAAACAGGAAAGATTGCAGTGATACACAATCATGTAAACACAGGTGAAACTGTCTTGGGACAGATGATGTGTTTAAAACCGAATTCAAAGTAGAGAGAAGTGCCAGTGGCCCCAGTGCACTATGAGACTAGGCAACACACTGCCTGCCCCAGGATGCAAATGTCAGAGCTCACAGGGGTCCAAAAATTCTTTTTAAAAAACCCTGTTTAAATGAAAAACCTCTCCAGGCTACTCTACATCTTACTGGAGGACTGTCCAAGGAAAGAGCGCGATAGGAACGAGGGAGGAGCGTGCTCTGCCTGGGGCCTTGGCTGGGGCTGGGACCTGAGCTAGGCACCCTCCAGCCCTTCCTAAGAAAGTGTGGTGGGCAGCTGCCTGCACCTCAGTGTGCTGCCTGGGCAGCATGCTCCCTTACCCACCAGATCCCACTCACACCATTCCACACATGGGTAATTTAAAATCTGTTACTGGTTCTGAGCAATGAGAAAGCGCTTATCAGGTCAGCGAGGTGCTGCCTGCAACAAAGATGGTATTGCTGTTCTAAATCACCTGTGGATGAAAACTATGTCTCTACAGATATTTGTGCTGCCAGTAACTTATGTGCAGGGAAGGGATGAGTTGACCTAAGTGCTCTCATGGTCTTCTGCATGTGCATCACTCACTGGTGGGTGCTAAAGGCCAGTATTTTGGTAGGAGCCAGGTGGCCAGAATTGTCAGTATAAAGAGTAGTGTCCTTAAAGCAATAACAGTGATGCAGTACTCATCACATGCAGGTCTGTCCCAGTCTGGACGCCACCTGGAATCACCTATGAACAAAACAAGTTACTCATTTTCAAGTATAACTGTGCCAAAGGTAACAAATGGAAGCAGTAATTCTGGTGGTACTTACTAATGACTTTGTCACGCTCTGCATTTCCTGGAGAGAGAAAATAAATGAATGTAAGCAGACTTATACATTATAAACAATTTGAGTCTAAGCAAAAGGGAATGGACTGTGAGCCTCAATGTGCTCACAAATACAGCTATGGGAGCTGTGTTTCATTCCAGGAAGAAGCAAAGACCCGCTGACTTCGGGAGAGCCTTGCAGCAAATCTCAGGCCTTTGCTGAGGAGTGCTTGATCACATCATGTTGACTTCTCTCACCAGTGGCTGGCGTAGAGAGGAGTCACTTCCCCAGGTGTGCTTTCCAGGATACTTTGGCTTTTGCCCAGTGCCTTGCATTCAAGATCCTCAGCCTACAAGTAGCTAATATTAAACAGCCCCGTTCATCAGGGACTCCTTGTTTCTGCAGTGCTGGTGTTTTAATGCCACCTTCCCTCTCCATTAGTTCATCTGAGGTTGAGTGCTGGGGAAAAGTGTGACTGTACCCCCAGCTCTCTTTGGGCAGATGTCCGCAGCACAATGCCTTGTCCTTTTACAGGAATTGCAGAAGGTCTCCTGATGCCATCCAGCAAAGTCAAGTGCAGGAGAATCAGGTGGGCTGCCAGGGGCTCAGGCTGAACAACACATCCCTATGAAGGACTCTTGCATGTCAGTCTGGCTCTTTCCTGGAGCTTAGGGGAAAGCAGATGGCCTGGCTGATGTTCACTGGAGCGAGCAGCTTTGGCCGTGCAGTGGCAGCTCTCCCCTCCTGCAGTGACACGGTGGCAGCAAGGATCACTTGGACCTGCACTGGCTCAAGCTGCAGCTCATGCACCAGATAATAACCTGGAGCCCACGGGCGGTATGTGTATCCCCTTCTGTGCTTCCCATTTCTGCAAGCTGTAACTTCTGCCAGTGATAATATCACCTTAAACTGCAGGCACTATATCTCCTGTATCATACCCTCCAGCACCTGAGGAGCAGATCCCGTCACTCCCTGGGGTAGAAAACAGGCTCATTCTGCCCTACCCCCAATCTTTGTGCATCACTGCTCACTTGGTTTCTCACTGCAGCTTTTCAGACTATATTTAGGAACAGGAGAGCGCTGTGCCTGCCTCCTGCCAGTATGTTTTGTGTGCTCTTTCCCTTTCTCCATGTGCTTGGGGAGGAGGACTGGTTGTCTTGTACTTACGACACAGCCGGCCCGCACACTGCTCGCCGTTGCAGTCGCTGCATGCTGTTCCTGTCTTGTATGGGCGCCCTGGGTAATTCCCACTGTGAAGGCAAGTGACACTGCTCTCAAACTGCCCTTGGGAGGGGAATGTTGACACCTACCACTAACAAGTTTTTAACCTGAGTTTAGCTTCACTTATGTTGATAGGGAGATGGTCCCTGTCTGAGTGCCCTGTGCCCAAGACATGCAGAAGTTAAGTGTAATGGAGCACCCTGTTGTTTAAGAACCTGGAGACAGCAGTATTGCAAACCTGGCAGTTAAAATAGTCTCAAATCTGGATAATTGGTGTGTGTGTAGACTGTGGGATCTTAAAGCTGGTTCGTACTCTTGGAACAAAAGAAGGTTCAGTTATGGTGTATGTACACATATACGTGCATATTACACCTTGAAGAGGAATCTCTGGTACTGGAGAATCTCTCATAGGTAGTGATTTCATCCATTTGTTGGTAAATATTTTATGAGTAGTGTGTGTCTCCCCCTGCTCCTTCCCTCTGCCAGCAGTGTGAATGATACCATTCCCAGGCTCTTGGCTCGATATTACCTGCCCACCTCTGATACTGCACCAAACAGCTCAGTGCTTCACTTTGCTTGAAGCATGGCCAAAGCAAGATTTACACTGTGCCTCAAACTGCTCATAAACACACTGAGAGGGATTTTATAGGCATGCACTCTCAGCAGTGCTAAACTTTATGGTAAAACCTCATTACTTTCAGTAAGGTGAGGCTTTCATTGCTTGGTCTAAGCTGAAGAAAATCCTTTATATTCACTTTAGGAACTGAAATTGTGTATGCACCTTGGTTTGACCCTTGGCAGAGGGCTGCTCTGCTGGGTGCTGTTGAGGGTGAGGGCACAGCTCTCCTTCCCTTCAGGGCAAGAAATCCAGCATGATTTCAGTCCTCTGTAAGATACAGACATTGGCTAAGGGGCAGAAGTAGAAAGCCCTGGCTCATGTCTTTGGGAGATCCAGGCATGAGGCTTGAGGGACAGAAAGCACCTTCCAGCAGTGCTGGGGGCCTGCTTGCCTGTGCACGGGGTTTCCGCACCATCTATCATGGTGGGATGCATAGCAAGTGCCAGGAAGGGAAAGAAGAGGCTGCCCTGGGTGATCAGTGGCTATTGGCTCAAGAACTGGCAGAGGTAATGGTTGCCCATCCACTTTGGGTGTGGGGCTTATGGGGAGAGCAGTTTTGTTGCTTTGGCATAGCAGCAGCTGTGTCATTTCAAGGTATCTGGTCAGGGGTACATACTCTTCTAAGGATGAAGCACGGGCAACAAGAATGCCAAACTTGCTCAAGTTCATGAGCTGGCTTGGCCTTGGCCCAACATGATAGTCATGTAAAGCTTTTAAAGCTGTATTTAGACTGTGGTGGCATTAATTAGCTGGAGAAGGGTAAAAGCTATCCTAGCTGGATATCCTAGTGACTATCCATATAAAGGACCTCTGGATAAAATTTTGCCTTGAGCAGCCCCAGCCTCACGAGCAACCCTCAGCTGCTAAAACTGCAGCTACAAGCATTGTGCCTTCAATATTTATCCAAACCATTGACCTAGAGGCTTAATTCTGCAGGCCCATGTGGAAATATTTTCAGACATAGGGCTTGCACCTTGGCAACTGTCTGGGGCCATCTGGGCACTCAGAAGCAAGGGATTAATTTTCAAATGATCAGTATTCTCATGTTAGCATCTTGTATTTTACCCCTTCTACCAGTGCCACTGCTTTTTTGGCTCCAATAGATAGCCCTCCTCTAGCAAAAAAAAAGCTGGTTGGACAGAGGTGTACCTCTTTCTCTATTTTGGGGACCATTTCCTTCCATAAACAGCTTGAATAGATGGACCCATCTAATAAAGTTACATGTTGTGGGAGGGAAGGGGTAGGACTCAAACCCTGTGAAATATTTGTAATTAAAAACCTTACGCCGGCCCGTAGTTGCAGATGAAGTGTGCTGCGTTGGTTATGGAGGAGTATGCCACACTGGGACAGAAGTGGACAGCACAGCCAACCTTGTAGCTTGTAGCCCAAACAATCTGCAAAGACAGATGGGTACATGGGTGACAAAAACTTTGCTTCAGCATCTGAAATGTTAGCAATGCTGATTCATGGTTTAGATGGAGAAATGCAATGCCTACCTGTGTATAGTGGCCACATGTTCCTCTGCAGTTACTGGTGGCATAACTGTACGCATTGACCTCATCATGCCAAGAGGTGATGGCTCCTTGCACAGTAAAAATAGAAATTGAGCCAGTCCAGAGGTTTTCTCCAACAGAGGTAAATTTGGGGTGGGCCTGCCCTGGCTCTTTGAGGTACGTATTATGTTTAAACAGGCATTTCTTTGCCCAGGCTTTCGCAGTTGTTGCCAAATCTGGATCCCAACTCTGCAAAATAAAGACAACTAAAAATCACTTTGGTATCTTAGTAATGCAGTAATTCAGAGCAACTTTCAGAAGCTGGGTCTCAGTAGTGTATATGCTTTGAATTAATTTGGGTTTTGCTTCTGCTGAGACTCGCAGACCTACATGGTAAATTGGCTTGCATGTTCATTTCTAATTTGAATTTAGCTACTCATTAAACTTGAGGAAGTTTTTGAGGTGGTGGATGATCTTGGCCTGCTGGTTTGCTGGACACCAAGAGCTGTATGTCAGTCAAATACAGCGTTTGGGGCACAATGTGTATTTCCATGCTATGCTGGCCATGAGAGAACATTAATTTAAACAGCAAATTTACAGGAAATCTGGAGACTGCGGGGTATGCTTACTGTACCAGACTGGAGTCTTGTGCAGACTCATGCATTAAGGCCACTGCTTGCAGGTCAGTTCACAAGCATGCTGGGATTTTTGGGACAGTTTAAACTCAACCCTTGGTTTCCATCTTTGTGTTTGGTGGCTTCAAATATTAGTGCTGAATTCATATTTGTGCAATCACTCATTTGCTATTCAATCTGACAGAAAGTGGTTATTTAAGCAATTGCGTTATATAGATGTCTTTCATTTGCACTGGAGGTGGTTTCTGTTTTTGCTGGGTTTTCTTGTTCATACAACTTGATTAAGCAAACACAGTATTGTACCTCCCAGGAAATGCAGTACTGCATGTGTGTGCCTGTAGTTCTAGATACACTTTGTGTCATGTAAATGAAGTTGTTCAACACCACTGAACTATTTTGGATTGGACTTTTTTAAAAAATAAACTTTTTTATTTCTCCTTTTCTAGATGGATTAAAACATCTCAGGTGCTTCTGCAGACAATAGAATCACTAGAGAAATTGTTTTTAACGGATCAGTGACTAGGGAAAAGGTAGTTGTTAGATTTCATGTCTATGTTTTACATAATACAACTTTTTTGTACCATAGATAAGTCTGAAACAGTTTGTGTATTGTTTATGCTACCAATAAGTAATTAAAAATTGCAAGATCATACCAAAATACACCTACAGAGACTTCAAATATTTTGTAACCTATGTCTTCCATTTCTTCCTATGGCTAACAATTGTGGGGGAGTGTATTTTCCCACTGTGGTGAACACCAGATGCCCACCAAAGCTGCTCTATCACTCCCCCTCCTCAGCTGGACTGGGGAGAGAAAATACAACCAAAAGCTTATGGGTTGAGATAAAGACAGGGAGAGATCACTCACTGATTACTGCCATGGGTAAAACAGACTCAACTTCGGGAAATTTAATTTATTACCGGTGAAATCAGACCAGGATAATGAGAAATAAAACTAAATCTTAAAATCACCTTCTCCACACCCCTCCCTTCTTCCCAGGATTAACTTTACTCCCAATTTCTCTACCTCCTCCCTCCGAGCAGTGAAGGGGGACAGGGAATGGGGGTTGCAGTCAGTTCATCACACACTGTCTCTGCCACTCCTTCCTCAGGGGGAGGACTCCTCACACTCTTCCCTGCTCCAGCGTGGGGTCCCTCCCATGGGAGACAGTCCTCCATGAACTTCTCCAATGCGAATCCTTCCCATGGGCTGTAGTTCTTCAGGCACAGACTGCTCCAGCGTGGGTCCCCCACAGGGTCACAAGTCCTGCCAGCAAACCTGCTCCAGTGTGGGCTCCTCTCTTCAGAGCCACAGGTCCTGCCAGGAGCCTGCTCCAGCACAGGCTTCCCAGGGGGTCACAGCCTCCTGTGGGCATCCACCTGCTCCATCGTGGGGTCCTCCCCGGGCTGCAGGTGGATCTCTGCTCCACTGTGGACCTCCATGGGCTGCAGGGGCACAGCTGCCTCACCGGGGTCATCAACACAGGCTGCAGGGGGATCTCTGCTCTGGCGCCTGGAGCACCGCCTGCCCCTCCTTCTTCACTGACCTTGGTGTCTGCAGAGTTTTTTCTCTCACTTTTCCTCACTCCTCTCTCCCAGCTGCAATTGCTGTTGCGTAGCGCTTTTTTTTTCCCTTCTTAAATACGTTACCACAAAATCACTACCACCATCACTGATGAGCTTGGCCTTGGCCAGCGGTGGGTCCATCTTCGAACCAGCTGACATTGGCTCCATTGGACATAGGGGAAGCTTCTAGCAGCTTCTTACAGAAGCCACCCTGTAGCCCCCCTGCTACAAAAACCTTGACATGAAAAGCCTATACACCACAAAACTAACACAAATAATTTGCCTAGGAACTCAAATATTAAAGGTAAATTTGGGGTAGGGTGCCTTATTTCAAGTGAGCAGTTGATATTTCTGTAGATGACAACTTTTAAGGACAATGAACAAAATCTGGCATTGCAGAAAAGTTATTTTCCAGTCCTAGCATTACTGCAAGTTAAGACAGAGGCTACAGTTTCCATCTTGGCAATGCTCTGAGGTCACAAGGAGAAGACCACGATGAAAAAATGTATGACAGTGGTGGACGCATCTTAATGCTTCATGGTCTTGTTTTTCACATTATGCTTTTTAAGAGTCTGCACATCTCTTTTTTTCTATCATCCTGTAATAGTACTAATAATAAGTTTAAAGTTTCATAAAGGTAAACATAATAAGTTTAATGGTAAATTAGGAATTTTACATGTACTTTTTTGTATGTCAGTGCTTAAATTGGCTGACAGTTGAAGAAGCAATGTGCAGAAACTGATAGTTCAGAATGATCTTCCATTTAACTATAGTTATACTCATTTTTTGCTTATGAAACTGTATTTCTGCAAAAAAGATTGGACTAAACTGTATGGGGAAAAATGCACATCAGAACAGAGTTCTCATTTTATAATAAGTGTATTACAAATATAGATGGTTGGGCTTTGTTACTTACAGTTAAAGGAGTTTCAGTTTTGTATTTTCTTTTAAAAGAGTATTTTTTCAAAAGGTGGAAATGCACTGAGTTCGTAGTCTTCATTTTTACATATCTAAGTGGACAGTTATCTACAGCAAATAAAAATTCCCTGTGAAATAAAGAAGTCATCTTCTTTTCCTCATTTTTTGAAGTGTTAGAGGCCATTCAGAAATGAAGAAATACTCTGTTTTCAATTCCAAAGTTTTTACTTTCGTAATAGATTTTATCATATATTGTACTACTTTCTCCACATTAAATTCTTCCCGAAAGAGGTTTTTTAAGACTAGGGTTTTTGCAGGTTTTTTTAAAAAGAAACTTACCATGATTTAGTTCTTATTTGTAGTAATCTTTGTTTGTTTAAGTTGGGTTTTTCAGATTTCAGTTCTTTAATTTTCCGAATGGAATAATTAGGAAAAATTTAAAGAGATGAATACTGTTCTTTTAATACACAATAGCAGGATATTGTTAGTGTATGATCGGTAAAGCAATCTAGAAAACAGAGTCTGGAGCAATATGTACTGGAAGTTCAGGATGCCTGGCTAAGAAAGCTGAAGTAAAAGATAAATCTAGATGAGAAACTGTTTTCTGTCAGGCTTGCAACTCGAGCTTGCTCACTGTTCACTTGCCCCTCCCTAATGGGCACTTCTTTTTTAGTGTTTTACAACCAGAAATGGAACTTGAGTTGGGGTGTTGCTAATTACAGATATGGTTATGTTCTCTTCTGGTGGTGACCATGCGAAATAGTAAGAAAGAGGAGCACAAGAAAACAGATCAGAATCAGGACAATCGCTATCATCTATTTGAGAGATCTGTGGAGATTATCCCAAGATATCTCAAGTATCACCCAGTCAAAGCACGAAAGGCAGTGGATGTTGCAAGAGACAGCTCCCGAGCTACTGGAATTGAACATCTCACAAATCAGAGATGGGCTTCTCAGCCATAAGCCCAGCTTTGTGCACGCATTTACAGCTTCCTCGTTTCTGGGTCTTCATGTGCTACCCAGCAGAGACAAGTGTCATGAGTCATCCGAAATGAGAAGTGGCCACTTTTGGGTATATTTTGAACCATGGCAGGCTGTCTTTTGCATGGTGGCTGCAGATGTTGCCCCCTGATGTGTCCAGCAAAGAAGGCAGCAGGGCAAAGCGGTGCAGGGCCTGATGCCTCCACCGCTTGCTCCTGCTGCACTTGTTGCTTTTCGGCTTCCCCTGCAGCCCCAGCACCTTGTAACAGCTGCTCTGTTGGCTCAGTCCGTGAGAGCCTTGCAAAGAAAGCTTAGAGAAAGCTCTCCGATGTCGTTTGGCAACAGTCTCTGCCCTTGCCAACTCAAGTATGAAAGTTTGTGCTTAGTTCTGCACATAAATTACACCCTGGGCTGTTGAGCTGTGCTGCCTTGGAATGGAGAGGCTTTTCACAGTACAACATGGCAGCATTAGGGTGAGGTTGAAAACCTGGGTTTCAAATGAGGAAATTAAGCCAGACAAAACTATGCATGTGCCTGATGGCATAAAGCCATCTGATAATCAGAGCCTTTTTTCTCTGCTTTAAAAAGAAGCAGCTCTTACGAACCCAGGAGTTTCTTCTTTTTTTTTTTTTTTCTTTTTTTCCATTTGAACACAAAACCAGTCTTTAAGAATCATAAACATCATCACAATGCTACACACTGGCATGTAAGATCCCCTTACCATGTAGAGCATGTTGCTGGCTGCTGGATTCACTTCTGACCGGAATCTGTTATGGGTTCGCACACATTCCTCAATAAAGTTTGGATCTCCAACATCAGGCAATGTCGGTTGTTCATAGGAGTCAGAGGAACAACAGAAGTGCAGTAAAGCCAGCACACAAGCAGAAAATCTGCTTGTCATGATTCTCAGACTCTGGTCTTCCAGCTCTAAGAGCAGAGTGTTTTAGCTGTCTGAGGTGGTTTTAGCTTCACCAGCAGCGTTTTGCTTGGAAGGCTTGTGGGCTGGACTTATCTTAGCCATGGTAATTGAGTATGGCTTGGTCACAGGAAATGAGTCACATTTCAGGAGCGTTGCTATGAGAATAAGGAAATCAAGCTAGAAGATCACATCAGAGCTCTGGCAGCTTTGTTGCTCTCTTTTTTTCTTCTTTAATGATGGTGGGCAAGATTCTTCTCTCCTTTCTTTCTTTTTGTTTTTCTGGCACCCACCATCCCATCCATAGTAATCACTGTGGATTGCAGCGAAGTTTGGGATTAATTTTCTGCTTTTTATGAAAATGGCATTGCTGTTAAACCTGTTACTCTGAGCCAGAATGCTGTGAGAAGTAATTGATTTGAACTATGGCTTTTACTACAGTATGAACAGTCACTTTTGTTGTACATCAAATTACTGGAGGGGTAAGTTTGGCTGAGAACTGCAGTTTAAATCTGCTGCAGTTACTGATAGGTTTCTCCTGTGATCACATGCTTGTGCTATGTGTTGCTATCAGTTTCTCCTCGCAAGCTTTAGCAATTTGTTATTCATTCCCTGAAAACCTGCTTAATATGTGTAGAAAGAGGAGGGGGGAAACAAACAAATAAAACCCCCAAGTGATGCAAAGGCAATCACTCACCACCCCCAATGGCAGACTGATGCCCAGACAGCCTCTGAGCAACAGCCAACCTAGAAGCCAGCCCCCACCTTTCTTCTTCCTCTACCCTATTTTTTTTTTTTTTGCTGAACTCGATGTTGCATGGTATAGAATATCCCTTTGGTCAATTCGGGTCAGCTGTGTCCCCTCTCCACCACTTGCCCATCCCCAGCCTATTTGCAGTTTCTAGGTATAGAAGATGGCAGCAGGCAAGACCTGACAATTGTGAAATTAAATATGTATCTTCTTACGTGCTGACATTTTGTAGCATATGGCAAGAGCCCAAACATTTGGGGTTCGTTTTTATTCTGTGGGATGTCATGCTCCTTCAGAGCTGCAATGTGGATCAGAATTTGAATCACTGTGTTATCAAAACATCAGGACTAAGACAAAGGAGGAAAAACAGCTGTAAATAGTGATAGCACAGTTACACATTGCTAGTATCAGCCAGTATCTCTTAGCTTGAAAGATGGCTTTGTTTCCTTTACTAACAAATTATATAGGAACAATAGGGATCAAGAGCTAAATGTTCTATAAACTGAATCCCTCAACAGTTTGGGCTTTTTGAATGAGGCTGGTATCTTCCGTTTCTGAACCAGAATCTGTCCTGGGCCCATTTAATCTTCCCTCTCCTTTTTTTTTTTTTAACTCTCTGTTCCCCCCTTCCCCTGCCTGCAAGCTCAGGATGGTTGTCATCTACTCTGCATTTCAGATTTTATCACTATCTCACATTCTAATATTAAGCACTTCCCATTTACACTCCATCTTAATTCTCACTCTATCAACTTTCCCTGGTGTTCTTCTAGCTATGGAGGACAAAGCTTAACTCTCAGAGGAGAAGAAGAGAATAGTAACAACTGACAATAGAGTAACTTTAATGGAGAATGATACACATAGGCTAAATATAGTAAAGGACAAGCTTTAATCCTTATGTTCATAAAAAGTAATACATACAGTTAAATCCACGTTATCTAGGGAAAATGATGTCTGGGATAACTGAAGGTTAATGGAGATGAGTTATTGTTTCTTTTGGATACAGTGTGTTGCTTCAGACATGTCTGTGTGATGCCCCAGGTTTCCAGGAGGCTTGTTAGCATATATAGTAACATATAGTCTACGTGGCCCTTCTAGAAATCTACCCCTGAGCCAGAGCTAAGAGGCTTGTGCAGACACAGAAGTGTATTGCAGCTACTGCAAATAAATTATACTAGCTCTACGAACAACCACTTGTATCTTGCCTTGAGTGAAGAATCAGCTGTATAAACATCACAAGGATAACGGAGAGATGACCAAATGTTTTTTTAAATGTGTGCAAATCTCTGACAGTAATACAGTGGTAGGATCACTACCAGTTTCTTAATTGATCTTTACTCATAAAAAAATGTGTGTGGAAACCACTGTTGCACTAAAAGAACAGCACCAGCAGTCAGTACCAAAAACAGTGGCCTTAAAATTATAACACTAAGACAGTATTGGTCGCAAGAGGGACGCAGGTCCTCGGCAGGTGGGATGTACGATGGCGTGGGAGGCCGGGGGGGCCGGGGCCGCGGTGGCTGGGGCTGTGTATCCCAGTCTGGATACCAGTAGGCATAATCTAAGAGACAGTGAAGAAACAGGTGTTAAGATCCATCCAACTTATCCATATGCATAGGAAAGCAATTAAGAACAATTTGATACATACTTATCAGCTTCTCACGTTCTGTATTTTCTGTAAAGAGATCAGAAGAGGAAATAAATGTGAGTATCATTCAGTGGTGGTTCTTAATGTAGCCAGTGCCTGGCTGATGCACTGACAGTGCCAGTCAATGCCTAAAACATCCGGAAAGGCGGAAAGAGGCCAACAAGAGCCAGTTTCCAACTGGTGTAAGCCTCATATTTTTTACTGAATTGAAAGAGAAGCAAAAAACAAACAGCTGTATTAGGAAGGATTTGTGTCACGGGGAGGACAGAATAGCAAGTAAAAACAAAGCATGGGATTTATTTAAAATTGATACACAAACCAAATTTAAGTAGTTGCAGACAGACAAATATAACTACTAAATTTATCACAGAATTACACATTTACTAAGAGCTTTGATACATTTTCAGGATTGCACATGTGCATCCTATTGGAATTGCTGATTTGCCCTATAGGAGAATATGGTAAAATAGGCTGTAGGATCTAGCACTTTATTGTTTAAAAGCTTTCTTTCTCCTTTCCCTCCCTCTAGTCTTTGAGATGTTTCCAGTTTTCCTGTGATGCATCAGTCTGAGACTTCAAGGTGAGTCAGCCAGGATATCACAGATGGAAATAAGAGTACCAAACGTTCAATTATTTCTACAGCTGAAGCTGTCTAGAGCCTGGCTAGTAGACACCATCCCCACTAAACTTCTGTATCAAATTAATATTTAAGATATTGTTGCATATCCTTTAATCTCTGTTTATTTAAAACACTATTTCTGACTAATTTGGGACTAGGTGTAATGACATAAGGGTCCACAGCTGCAAACTGCTGTGGGAAAATAAGCTCTCGCTGCTGTATTTCAAAAAATTGCGGAAGTTAGAAATAAGTGCGCTTTTAAGTATAGTCTTATTACTGGTTCAGAACCACCATTGTCTGGAAAATGTGATAGAACATACTAAACAAGCAAGAAAGCAGAAGTTAAATATACTATTTCTGCTAGGAACGAAGAACCAGATGGGGAATATTTGTCGGGGCTTAAGTTTTAGATCTGAGTTCTGGTAGGATAAAAGGTGGAGAGTAGTCTTATTGATACTTCTCTTCATCAGAAACTCTGGCTTTTAATTCTGAGAGCCTTCAACAGAAAAGTGTTTCAGTTATTTTCTTCTAATACTATTCTTGCCAGGGTTTAGTACTGTTGCTGTGTTGTGGGCTACAGATCCACTGTACTTAGTGCAAATTGACTCGTTGTATTTCCACTTACAATTATGCCACTTTTATTTCCACACAATTTTCTTAGGTGATCTATTTGGTCTTACCGCAGAGCCTGTCTACACACTTCTCATTACTGCATCCACTGCACGGTCGTCCCATTTCATATGGTTTTCTTGGGTAATTGCCCCTGAAAAGCAGAACTGTATTTTGTTAGCTCAGTTGTTTGAGAAGCAATTTAAATACATGGTTTCATCAGATTGTGAGAATAATTTATCATTAAAAGTTAGGGGGGGGGAAAATCCTTTTATCCAAAAACTAATCATTGCAATTTTTTGAAATTCCTTTTATATTAGAGGTCTCACTGGCATGGGGAGCAGCTATCTGGTGACTCTTGCCACTTGAAATTAATGAGACTTCTTGGACAGTACTGTATTTTCAGTGTAAACATACATGAGTCTAGCCCTAGTCCCTCATTACCCCCCTGTATTTTAAAAACAAATCTGTAAAAGGTAAGCCCAGAAATTGCAAGGTATGAGATAAACTAGAGGACTGTCTTCTTTTTATTTCTTCAGTTAAGATGTCTTGTTTGAAGTTTGGGTGGGGCCATATAGAGATGTAATATTTCTCAAAGCAGAAAGCTTGCATCTTACCCACTTTTCCTGCAGAGACTGTTGTCAAAACAGATTTTATTCCACCATCTTAGTTATGGTGAGTGCTCTCAGATATGATCTGCTTGCCTGCTTTTTAGAAAGGGATTTTCTGCAGATCCAGCTACATTCAGCTTCTGCTCTCAATGGCTGGGGGGAGCTCCCCTTGCACTAGTGACATGTGGACATAGCTTCTTTTGAAATTTATTATAACTGCTCCCATCATTGTTGGCATCTGATACCAGATCAGTTATAGTATATTTAAAAATAAAAAACCCCAACCAAATGCCATAACTAACTTACGCTGGCCCATAGTCGCAAACAAAATGTGCTGCTCTGAAGAGTCCTGGAAAATTTTCAACTGTATTGCAGAAGTGAACTGCACAACCAACTTTGTAACTCTCTGCCCAAACGACCTGAAGGGCAAAGGGAAATACATAATGCACCTGTTCAATGCCTGAAAACAGCAATATCATGAAGGGAGGAAGAAGGGAAGGATCTTGTGGAAGTTTAAAACAGCTGACACAGGAGCAACATTGACAAACCAAAGGGCAGCTGAGGCAAACAACTGATTGACAGATGTTTTTGCATTTATTATCTGGCTCCCCTGGAAACATGAAATTATCAGGGAATAATTCTATCATTACTGGAAACAGGACTTGGACATCCCTGGGGCCTGGAATATTTATTTCCAATCTCATGTAGCAATAAACCAGAGGGTGAAAACTTCTCCTGTTCCAAAGAAGTCTGTTCCAAGCCTGTGCTTGGATTTCCTGTAAAATCATTACATTACAAACCATGGGGCACATAAGACTCACCTGAGTGTAGTGACCACACATGCCAGTACAGCTACCGGTGCTGAAATCATAGCTGCTGACTTCATTAAACCAGTCAGTGAGGGCTGTATCCGCGGAGAACAGGGTGGCTGTGCCAGTCCAGATGTTTTCTCCAACAGGGGTAAAGGTGGGGTGCACCTTCCCCGGCATTTTAAGGTAGATATTGTGCTTAAACTTGCACTTCTTTGCCCATGCTTTGGCAGTCTTAGCTAAAGCAGCATCCCAGGACTGTAGAAAAGGGAGAAAATATAACATAACCTGCACTGCAGTGACTTAGCTGAATTCAAATACTTTTAAACAGTAACTTGTAAGGATTCTTTCCCCCTTTTCTGCTTCCCATCCCTGAATTCAATTTCTTTCTCTGACTTGACATTTCTACTCCCACAGCAATTCTTCTTTCATGCTTAGGTATTGCAGGACACATAGTATCTATTCATTGTCCTGTGGTATCTGACCTTAAAACATTTAGAGCTGGACTGCAGTCTTTAACCTGCTATGCCTGAGAGGAGGTAACTGGGCCACTTTGTGCCTAGGAGCTGTTGGCTGTCCAGAGATTTGCACTTTGCAATTATCACTAGACCAGACAAGAATTCCATTCTGCTGGCCAGGACAGAGAGAAAGATTCACAACTGCTCCCTTCCCCAGACCCTTCTGCCTCTTTGCTCTTCTCCCTCCTCAGTGTGTGGCCAAAGCAAATAAAAGGCTTGCTCATCTCTGCTAGGCTGAGGAGTAACCATTCCCATCCTGAGTGGCACAAGTGATGATTTGAGAAACCAGTCTGGGAGACTTGCTGAAAGATTTAATGACACCGAATGACCAGGGAATAGAATGGCGGGTAAAATTCAGTACAGAGAAATACAAGTTAAAGGATGTGAGGAAAAAACTCCAGTTTTGACTTTGTGTTCATAGTGATGGGTTTTGAGATGGCTATTATCACTTGTAAATCAATGTTTAGTAGTAGTCTAAAAATCAAATAAAGTGTTAGAAATTCCTTGAGAAGGAATTACACCGCTGCAGAAGTCCTGTTAAATGCTGTGTGCAGCACAGCACCCCGCCTTAAGAAGGGGACACTAGATCTGGAAAGGGCAGAGAGAACATGGAGGAGGATGATCATCCGAACGTATGAAGGGCTTTCATAAAGCAACAGCAGCTTTGACCAGAGGCAGCTGGACATCTTGTGTGAAGTAGGTAAATAAGCAATAATAACTTGCTCCTTCCAATAGAAAGACCAGAGACTGTCAAACAAAGCTGGGAATTAACAGGTTCAAATAAAACACGAAGAGATATCTTCACACAATTTCTGGTTAGGCTGTGCAGCTCTTTGCTATACAATGCTAGCGACAATAAAAAACTTGCATGACTCAAGGCTGAAAAAGAATCATACAAGAACGATCCATCAAGAGCTTTTAAATACAATGCAACACCTTTGATTCAAGAAGTTTCTATATATTTGTCCTGCTGTTATTCCAGGCATGCTGGATCTTTTGTCCAAGTAGCTAAATTCACTCTTGTGCACTAGCATTTTAAATTAAACATTGTTTTTTCAAATAGTGAGAAATTATAATCACAAGTAGGCTGAATTTTACCCCTTTACTCTGAACTTCCTTCCACAGAAATGATTCATACTGTGCATGCGGTTATGCATTTAACTTCCTTTACAGCTATGCAGCACTGCTGGAGGGCTCAGAGTAATGACATGAATTGGCTGGGGTTACCTCCCTCAGCTGTCTATCTACTTTTTTCCTTATTTATTTCACTGAAAAAAATATAGCCTGTTCTGATATCCATTGTATTTACAGGAAGTTCTGCTTTTCAAACCCTGCTACAGCAAATGAAGATCGGGTATTTAAATGGCTGTCCTGGCAGATCCCTTTCTTCAACACATGTTCTAGATTGGAAACAACAAGGGGAGATTATAGATTTTCAACCAATCCTGTAGTGCAGACTGACTATTCAGAAGCTTTTAAATGCCAAACAGCTTCCCTGTAGGAGACTTGGACTAACATAAACCAGATTACTATCTCTCTTTTAAACAGGTAAATGAAATGCTGAGAACTGAACATATTTTTTTGCAATATAGCCTTTTGCTCTGGCTGAAGTTTAGAGTAGCAACACACCCCTAAACAAGGAATTCCCTTCAAATTATTAAAAATGAACACTACTGTGAAAATTAGTATCTTTTCAGTTTCCTATGAAGAACTAATGCAGTTAATAGAGAAATAATTGATAGAAAGGAAAAGCACAAAACAAATGAAGAGTAAGGTGGACTAAATCAGCAGCACAATCTATATGAATTTTCAAAGAGATCATGAATGCCTCCTTACCATGCGAAACATATTGCTGGCTGGCGGTTTCACTTTGGATCGAAACATGTTGTGAGCTCTCACACAGTCTTCAATGAACTTTGCATCTTCTATGTCAGGCAAGGGATATTGTGGATAAGCATGACAGCAAGCAAAGAGATCCAATAAGAACAAAGCAGCAAAGGAAAATGTGATTTTCATAATTCTTCAATGTTTTCACTCTTATTTTTTTAAAGTTTTTAAAAGAAAAATCTCTCAGGTGGAGATAATACTTGCAAGCTGCTCTTCAGAGATGTGGAAGCACTTCAAAGTGTCAAAGTAACAGGAAGTAATATTGCTTCATAGGGTACAGCTCTATCTGACATCACAGCTGGCCATCGAAGGGTAAACTGTGAAACAGGCATCTGCTGTGCATATTAGCAAGGAGCAGCACCCCAGGTATACTTCTCTCTTTTCTTTGAGTGTGCTCCATTCTGGTTGACTGCCAAACCATTCTGTGACTGTAGGTCTTATCTGAAGAGATGCTGCAGAACAGCTTTCCTAAAACCTGCGTCAACCATAAAAATTGTAGCTTTAACAAAATACAAATCTGCTGATTTTCCTACAGTATAGCTTAGTCATACCAGCTCAATTAGAATTATTTTGCAGGACCTTGCTTCCATTTCAGAATTACTCTAGGAATGAACACAATTAGGGAAACTGTATATACTGAAATTTGACTTCACCACAAGCAAAAAAAAATGTTCCTGAAGAGCAGTTTACTACAGAACAGACCTTCTGACCTGGTTTGGAGTGTAACAAAAATATGCAAGAGTATAAGCATCAACATATGCTTTAAGAGCTAAGGTCTTGTAACTCAGATTTAGGTAGGTTTACAGAGGAAATATGTTGTAGATTGTAAACAACATTCATGGGTCTGATTACCTGCTCAGTTTTACAGGTCAGGCCTTATCCTGCTGAGAACTTGTGGAAATTACCATTCCGGTGTTGCCATCTCTGTTTGCATGATGACTTGTCCCTCTTAAATAATACCCCTGATTTGGTTCAGAGGCTTGTAACAATCTGTACACCTAACTCAGCGTGAAGGAGCTGTAGTCCCCCAGCACCATCACAGCTATACCTATCTAGGATGTTAACAGAAGTCATATAATTAAATACTTCTCTGTCTGCATGTGTTTATGGATGTCCATTTATTACTAACTCTTCACACCCTCCTTTTACCTCTGCCATGATTTGTTGACCAATTTCATGAAGGTAGGGGCAGCTGTAGAAGGCAACAAGGGGTGTGTGTATGTGTGTGGGGGGGGGTAGTGGCCTCTGGTGTTTTGTATCTTTTGGGAAAGAAACAAAAAGGAGGCTCCAATTATTCTTATTGGACAGGCTTAACACAGCCGTTATCAGTAAACAGCCTTCAGAGGTACAAGAGACCTGGACAGAGAGGGAACTGAACAAGTATTACCTCTTCTTCCCCTTTTCTTTTACAGTAGTTTCCTGTGCTTTGAAACTCTCCCAGTAAGATCACAATTTTTTTCTCTAATAAATTGTTTGTTTAAAAAAAGACTAAGCTGAAGTGGTTGGTGGGAGGAGACTGGCCACTTTCTCTGTGGGCACAGCAAGCTGGGTGCAAGACACTTTTGGTGCTGCCACGTCCGTGGTGAAAGATGCATGAGGCACTATGAATCATATCAAACTCCCACCTCCCTTGGCAAATAAAGGGAAGTAGGAGGTGAAGCACCCACCCTGGCACAACCCCAGTCCAAGGCAGTAGTCACACTTGAAGCCCAGACACTGGCTTTTAGTTCTAATCACTTTACCTGTTCCTCTGTCAGTGGTTGGCTGTGGCTCCATTTGCCTCCAAAACATGTATGCAGTGGTCATGACCTCACCTACATTTACATTTACCTACAGCCACCTGGAGTACCATGTCCAGCTCTGAGAGCCCCAACATAAGGATGCGGACCTGTTGGAGAGTCCAGAGGATGATCAGAGGTCTGGAGCACCTCCCTCATGAGGACAGGCTGAGAGAATTGGGGTTGTTCAGTCTGGAGAAGAGAAGGCTCCAGGGAGACCTTATAGCAGCCTTCCAGTACATAAATGGAGCCTACAGAAAAGATGGGGAGGGACTCTTTATCAGGGAGTGTAGCAATAGGATGAGGGGTAACAGTTTTCAACTGAAAGGGGATAGATTTTAATTAGATATAAGGAAGAAATTCTTTACTCTGAGGGTGGTGAGGCACTGGCACAGGTTGCCCAGGGAAGCTGTGGCTGCCCCCTCCCTGGCAGTGTTCAAGGCCAGGTTGGACGGGGCTTTGAGCAACCTGGGCTGGTGGAAAGTGTCCCTGCCCATGGCAGGGGGAGTGGAATTAGATAATCTTCAAGGTCCCTTCCAACCCAAACCATTCTATGATTCTATGATTCACTAGATCCCCCTGCTGATTCTGCCTCCCGGTGTGCCATTAACAGTGCCAAGGTCCCTTGTCTAACAGATGAAGTTTCTGTTCTCTCCTGCTGTCATGCTCTATCCCAGAAAATGTGTGTGGGCATTGAAAAAGATGTCAGGGCCCTCAGCTGTGGTGGCACATTTTAAAATGCGCAGGAGGGTGGCCTCTTACTAGTATTGGTGACTGCTGGTCAGGCTGGGATGGTGAATGAGATCTTGAGAAGGAGGTTTCTTCCTGTGGGTGCAATTACCTTCTGTCCTACCAGGGGACAGAGGTTGGTCTCTCCTGTCAGCTGCTTGCTTCTGGGCTACAAGGACTCTCCAATCCACCATGTGCACTCCTGAAGCCCACAAGGTACCATCCAGGTGCTGCTGGCAGTATGGGGTGTGTGTGGAACACGAGGTAATGGAGAGGTCATTTGATCAAATTATGACGGTTTAGATCATTATGGTGAATGACCCTCTCCACTGCTTCTAAATTGAACACAGAAGGCTTGTCCACTGCTTTGTTCCTTTGAAAATCATCTCACCTCTTTTCTAAACCAGGGCCAGCTGAGTTCAGTTTACTGCCAATTATTCTTTCTCCAACTAAATATTAACTCGAAACTAGAAAGTATGTTTTCTCTTTTCTAATAATGCCCATGCAGTCTATGAGAATCTAAAGACTTTGCCAGCTAGACTTAATGTAAAACCATGATTACATTACCTTAACATGCAATCTGCACAGAAATTTTCACCACACTAAAACTGTACCATTAATTTAGCAGTGCAGCAATCTTGTATAAACATGCATTTGGAATTCTGTGCTTGGAAACTGAACTGAGATCTTCGTGAAGTAGTACATTTTGACATATCCAGGATAGTCTAGGTTATAAAATGCTTTCCTGCAGAGATTACTCTGGCTCCATCTAGTGATTCTGTCTATACTTAAAGCCAAAATCCAGCCTGCCCTCAAGGATTTGTAAACGGTTTTCACAAAAAGAGGGTAATAATCCCTTGCTAGCATTAATCCGTAGATCTTGTAAACCAGATGAAAAGTAAGCTTTGTGATTTGCATATCACATTATATTTGTCTGGACAATACAAGCATTGCCTGTCCCTGCATAGTTCTCAAGTGAAATTTAGCACAATGAGCTGGGTATGGGCAGGAAGCTGAACAGACAAATGATTTTGAAAAAAAATCCTCTTGTTTATATCCTCTTTTCTCACTTCTCACTTGCTTTCAGTTTAAAATAGCTGGAAGAATACGACTTCAGATTCTTAGTTTTTCCCTAACACATAATTCAGTCAGAGGAGTAAAGGCTGGTGGATTAGAGACTATCCAAGATGCTTGTGAATTTGTACAAATACATTTAATTTTGGCCTCAAATCATCAATTTCCCCACAAAGTACTGTTACTTGTGTTGGGGAGAGAATCTGTTTGTCCTTGATTTACTAGGTTCAGCTGCACAAACAGGGGTGGATCTGCTGGGTTTCCTTGTTCTGTCCACGGGATAAGGCAGCTGCAAGATCAATTGGCCTACCAGACCTATGAATAAATTAATATTCTGACGTGCATTGCTAATCTTATCACACAATCTCACCTCAGGGCAGAAACAGATTTTAATCATTTTAATAATTTATGAAAGGATGGTTCTGGTACTGGATTTCTGCAAGTATTATATTTTAATGAACTATTTTGTGTTTATCAAAAGCTAAAAAACCTTGAAATTATTTTGCAGTAATGAGGCTGTAAACAGCCTCACAATTCATAGGGCAGGCAATCAGTATGTGGTTGGACTGCAGGTAGTTATACTGTAGTTTTGGTTAGGGGAATTTGTGCAGTGCTGCTTAGTGCAACTATGCCCCTTGGCCTAACTGAGCAAAATCACACTGCGCTGCTTGCTGCCTTCTCTCAACGAAGTACCGACCAAGGCACAAGAGGTCGCTAGGTGTTCTCTCCCCGTCAGTCAAGGTGGCCCTTTATCACATCTACTTTGCCCCTCAAGGACAGCCTGTTTCACTCCCCTCCATCAAAGGATAAGGGAAGTGTGAAGCACTCACTGAGGGCTGGCTCCTCCCTTTGATGATAGCTCCGCTGAAGAAAGATGGATAGGCAGTGATAATGCCGTGGATGACAGCAGTCTCTGAGCCATAGAAATACCCGAAGGGAGGGTGTAGAGATGACAAGAGCCAGCCTCTTTTCAGTAGCGCCCAGAGGCAATGGGCACAAACTGAAACACAAGAGGTTGCCTCTGAACATCAGCAAACACTTTTTTACTGTGAGGGTGACCAAGGACCGGCACAAGTTGCCCAGAGAGGTTGTGGAGTCTCCATCCTTGGAGATACTCAGAAGCTGTCTGGACATGGTCCTGTGCAACCAGGTCTAAGTGGTCCTGCTTGAGCAGGGGCGTTGGACAAGATGACTTCGAGAGGTCTCTTCCAACCGCAACTGTTCTGTGATTATGTGATTCCTTGATGGAGCCAAAGCTTCAGCAGGTTGTGCAGGATGAAGGATTTAGCATGATCTCAACAACATAGATACAGGAAGCTTGTTATAGAGTACAAGTATATGCCTAGCTGGGCAGGATTGCTGGTTATCTTCCCTGCCCTTCATACGTGATTTATATTCTTGAACTTAAATTACTATCATTTGTTACATTTCTTTCTTTTTAAACTCAAGGCATTTGAAAAATGAGAAAGCTTTCTGCTGTCCATCCTAAGCCTCTTTTCACAGCATAACACCAGAAGTGGTTGGTGCATAGCATCCATATGGAAGTGTGAAAGCTCAAGAACCGCTACAATACTACTGGAATATTATACAATACTACTTGGGAATCTCCTGAGGGAAGATAGAGCAAGCCATTACA